TCTCACTTGTAATGCAGTAAGACTCTAAGAGCTTATTGCTTAGTCAACATGCTTCGTTGAACTTACTCACGAATGAACTGATTTGAACGTTAGCTGGAAGAGAAAAATATTTTGAACTTGAAAAATCGACAACTTTGTGATAGAAAAGGAAAATGGCAATATTTCCACCTAAACGAGGTTTCATTCACTTTATGTCTAGAAATTCCTATGACGTCAGGGCACATTAACTGTGTTATCACACTATTTTTGATGTGTCGGTATATTATTAAGGGCGCCGCCCCCTACTTTTAGGAAAAGCTTTCGTTTTTCACTTAAACGTAGTGTATGGTAAAATCCGTAAATCTCGGGCACAGGTCCTGATAAAATCACCAGATTTTGTATAAAACTTTCTATCTGGCGATGTGTATGTATATTTTAAGAGGCATCTAAAAGGAAAAAGGAGGTTGGAACTTATCATAGGACAAGCTGATGCCTGAAAATCTCACTCAGTATGAGGAGATGGCTCCACAGATGAAGACATGTTATGGATTTTCGAATGTAGGATTATCCACACAACGTTTCTATTAGTTCTGTTATCTCTCTAGGGCTTAACATTAGGGATGTTAATTTAGTTTTATTGTTCATTTATAATAATGGATAAATATAAATTTGTCATTTATATTTACATAATAAAGATAAATCGATCATTTATTTTTAAGAAAAAGGTAAAATACAGAAATAAAGATTTTATTTTATGGAATATATGCAGTAAATGTGGAATGTTCTAAGACCACAGAATTTGTTGTTATTATACAGACGAAGTACTTTATTCAGAAGATGTTTCTGATTGAAAACATCTGAACTGTAGGCATAATACCACAAAATAAAGAAATAAAGATGAAATAAATGGCTGGTATTCTTCTTCTGCGACCATGGTTTTTTTCTTGGAACTCCCTGCGCTTGTTCTATTCAATCTTCTCTTTTCGAGATAGGTTAGTTTTAGTCGATCTGGATAATTCATCGTGAGTTAAAACGACTTATTCGGACAATGAAGAAGAATAATAAACTCATGATTTGAGGTGAGAGTGAGGGTGAGGGCATCAACGATGACATACGAAGGTTTCCCTGCTTGTTAATTCACTTGAAAACGGCAAAAATAAAATCTTTATTTCTTTATTTTACCTCTGTTTTTTGAAGATAAAGGTAAAGATAAAACTCACTTATCTTTATTTTATAAAAATTAAGTTTTTCTCCTTTATTTATCTTTATTTTTTAAATATAGATGATGAGTTTATATTTATTTTCTAAAATTATACTAAATTAACATCCCTAGTTCACGCATGTCTCATTCTGTAAAATTACTTTTTCTACCACTTCAATTGAATACTGTCTATAGTTTTTCTATTTCTTATGCTATTTTCTCTGCTCTACTCCGATAGATCATGACTTTTGTCCTCACTTTCTCGGAAAAAAGTGAGAGAAAATGAGCTGTGATTAAGTACCTGGCATACATGCTAATATATCGTATATCGCCCGTTAGATGACGTGGACAAAAAAACGGTTTTAATGAAGTAAGAATGAATGATGATGTCTTGCATGAATAGAAAGAGTACATGTTCATGTAATAGTCACGTACACTTTTCCAGTTGAGAGAGAAAAAGAGAGAGGAAAAGAATCCCTTGTCAGGTGTTCTATTCGCTCAAAGACGACGTAATTATGGTTTTCTACGACAGCAACGGTATTGTACTGTCAACGCTTACTGCACACGCGTTACTTGTCGCGGCTAACATTTTGCTGCTTGTATTTATACTTTTGATAAGGATTGCACGATGCAAAAAAGAAAATTTGAGGCCGTTCTTAATCTGCTTAGTGCCAAATTCCTTTGAAAATATTCTCGTGTCGAACATTACAATAAGAGGGACTATACAGTCTCTTGAAAAACGATTTAAATTTGACAATAAACTGGCCGATGTGGGTATGGAATACACATTCATAGAGATATATTCTGTTGCTGTACCTATTCAATGGTATTTATTATTAGTCATATTTGTCTTTACAGTACTCACAACTGAAGTTAGCACTGAAACTTGTTCAACATTTATGAATAGTACATTGTATAATCAGTCAAGTGTCCATGCCTGCTGGTTACAACAAGAGGAGATGCTTAATCTTAATCGATGGTCAAATCAGCGTACATTTGATGATTGTTTATCCTATTCAGATCCACTAGAGAAAAAGGTCACCTGTGTGAAGTATGTATTCAGACTGATGAATATAATCGCCGCTATAACCAATATGTTGACATGGCACGGACTAACCACATGGATAGCGATAAAACTTATTTGGTTCATTGAGGTATGGCAAAGAAAACTGAGAAATACTCAATGGTGGACGCGATTGAGCAATCAAAAACGTAAATTGATTCTGTCAATAGCGTTTTATTCACACTTAATTTTACACTGCGGTTACGGATGCGTATATTTAGCTCTGACACTTTTCCTCGCTCTACAACGTGATAGACTATTAGACAAAACGTTCACTGTTATAGTCGTATTCGCTTTGTATTATCTCACCCTTATCACATGGATACAAGTCAGTTTTATTCGCGATTGGAAAAAAGTTTACGATCAATATCCGATTGTCAGCCCGAATGATGAAAATAGAAATGTTCAACCATTCAAAAGTGTCATAATTATTCCGGAAGAAAGCGAGCAAAAACTAATAAAATGTTTTAATTTCTTTAAATAAAAAGCTCATATTTTTCTTTAAACAACGTTTCAATAATCATACGAAGTTTCAATAAACTCTTAATCATGATAAAGCTGCTATTCCATCTTGTTTTCATGTCTCCTGATAATGTACATTTAATATTAGCTTTCATTCGTTCACAATCAAAAAACGAAGTCAATATCGAAGATCGCTTAATCATATTAACCAAAGATCTACATTTCTTCAGTAAATTACCAACGGTTTCTTGATCTGGTATCATTCCGGTTTCATCTTGAATCACATCCATAGCCCAATTATCATTAATTTCTTCATCATCTGCATTATTATTTGTGATGTTATCAAGTTCCATTTCTTCATCGCTCGAACTTTCATTTGACTTATCATTATTCAATTCGAATTCCTCTGAATTATTATCCAAATCCAAGTCCACGTGATTTTGTTGATCATTAATAACTTGATTATCTCCATCATTTGCTTCATCATCGACAGTTTCTGAAAACAAATTGGTTCAAAGTTTCTCTACAAAACATTAATTCAAGGTCTCACTCCCTTCTCTACAGTGCCTTTATTTTTAATTTCAGAACTAACTAAGACACAGATTTTTAGATATCTAAACATTTTAAAACATCACGTCCCACAATCCATGTTTTTTCGGTTCGGTTTAGTATTTATTCTTTGTATGTTTCAAAGATCAGCACTCCACTTCTGGTTCAAGAAAATTTCTTCCTTTCTTTAGAGGATTATGAGTGATGAAAATCTGACATAGCCGTTGCATTATTTCCATCTTCTTCATTGTTATTAATTTCCACTTCATTCTTTTTATTTTTCATCCAAATGCCTAAACCATTCGTGATTACCAAGTGCAATCGATGAGCACAGCACCACAACCATTTATTATTACCATCCACGTCTTTGAGTGCTCGAGTCATATTATTTGCCCCGTCGGATGTGATACAATGAACTGTGTTTTGTATATATAATTTTTTTAATTTTGTGTTCATGACATTTGTAACCTCCTTCGAGGAGTGTCGTTTATCAAATGAACTAAAGTCCAATATTTTGGACACCAATTCGAAATTGTTATTAAACCAGTATCTGCATGTATAGTCTGCAGTGGCCAGTAATAACTAAGAATGATCTAGTACGTCGGTTTGACCAGAAATCTGTTGTTAATGATAATGTGTCCACTTGTTTTAATTCTTCAATTAAATTTTGATGGTGTATTGAATTTAGTCGTTTTAAACGATATCCAATGATATTTCTATGTGGTGGCTGATACCCTTAAATGACATTTAAATAAAAAGCAATATAATGTACATTCTATTATTTATAGTACTAGACAAATTGATAAGGCAAGAGATGTATTGCATGACTGTGTACTTTTGTATTAGTTAGTTCGAAAGGTCTGCATATAAGACACGAAAAGTATTTTCATTTTCAGTAGTAATTGGAGAAGAAAAATGGAGCGGCATGTTAGAATCGCTCGAACTGTTGGCTTCTGTATGGTGGGGAGCCCCGTAATATTTTGTTTTGTAGCTAAAAGACTCGACTTTGAGGATATATGATGAAAAATTTTTGCAAGTGGTGTTTCATAGGACTTTAAATTGATTCCAAGAGCCTTGCAAAAAGATCTTTAGTAAACGTTTTCTGAAGCTATTAAAAATCTCATGTTGTAAGTACCAGAGTATATAAGTAGTGCTCAGTTTTTCATGCTCTTTCCAATGATGCATTTAAAAACAGAAAATGGTTGATAAACTTAAATATTTTAATTTTTTGCAATTAACAGTGATATTTTTAAAATTCAGATCTAAACCTTGGGCAGCATGATTTTTGAATTATTTGTTTTTCTAGATGAAACGCCCTTTTATGTGGTATGATTTTATGTTGAAAAAAAATTAAGATACGAGTATGAAGATAATACTTTTGTGACCTTATGATTTTTTCCAAGAAAAAACGCAACGTTTTCTAGAAATTTCTTTTCTAGAAGAAAGAACTAGAGGCTGCGAAATTTTTTTAAAAGGACATTCGGAACGAGCACACGCGAAAGCATCCATTCATATGGTTTTTTACTCTTAGCACATTTTCCGAAAGAAAAAAAAGAACGCACAAGTTCAGGATTGTACCCTGCCTTATAATTTTCTTAATTCTTTCTTAATTTTTTCTTAATTTTTCTAGATGGATTCTCGATAAATGCATGCTCAGAATTCTATAAGCTTAGGATATTTCACCTCGACCGCGAACTTCAAAACTCAAGGGTCGAATCTATAATTGCTGAGAAAGAACATGAGCCTTTCTTGCCCTAAAAGTTCAAAAGGAGCATCGTAGACAATATTAAGAAAACTAAATTCAAACTAACATCGGGAGAGATATGACTTTGCTTTAGTTTATTCGTTATAGCTCTATCCTTCCTGTCTACGAAATGAGAAGTAGAATAACAGTGAGCTTTCTAAAAACCAAAAAGAGCCATATGAGCTTTAGAAAATTGTTAGGATTCCCGTCTATAAGTTTCCATAGACAGATCAGGAGACAAAAAATGTTGTTTCTGGTTTTCGATTGTAAAAATAAAAAAGTTATTTTGCGTTTTCCAGCCCCTTCTACGATAGATTATAATTAAATTTTTTCCTGAACCTATCCTATTAAAAAATGTCACGTATATAGCAGGAATGAGTAAACTTCACCAAAATCTGCATGTATAGTTTACAAGAGTAATCTGCTATGCATCAGTACTCGGGTGCAATCAACAAAACAAAAGAACAAGTTCCCAAGAAAAATAGGATCTAGCTTAAGCTAGCTAAAGAGGAACAATCAGCTAGCTCAAGCTAGGTAAATGTTCTTTTTAGCTAGCTTAAGCTAGATCCTATTTTGCTTGGGTTGATGCAATAGAAAGGAAAGCAAACTTTACTCCCCAGGACGATGATTACGACAGCCGTAAACAGTCGTATACTACAGTTTACGATGAATGATACTGTAGTATACGATGATTACCATAGACATCCAACGATATCGGTTACCGTTTTTACCGTATCTTACCGTTTCAACGTTTGTTATGAATGCATAAGAAAATTTATTAGAAAGTGAGATTATGCAGAGAGTATATTGATGCCGATATTTTAACGGTTTTTTATTCGTTCTTTGGCTTTTCTTTCTATATTTTATTGGCTCAAAGATCAATAGAATAGATTGAAATAGTGTTTTCATTTCTTAAGAAATTCAAACACTATTTCAACCTACTCTATTGACTCTTTGAGTCGAAAAAATATTGAAAGAAAAGCCAAAGAAGAAATAAAAAAACCGTTAAAATATTGGCATCAATACACTCTCTACATAATCTCACTTTCTGATAAATTTTCTTATGCATTCATAACGAACGTTAAAGCAGTAAGGTACGGAGAACCGGTAAATACCGTTTCATGCCCAGCTTACCAGGTGCTAAAGCTTGGATAAATTTCAGAAGACCTGGTTTCTGTAAATCGTTAAATGCTCTTCCATCTCGAATAACAGCATTTATAGCTAAATCATAATATTTTGGTTTTAATTCCAATGGTGTATTATTTGTTTTAATTTTTCTTTCGGTTACTGGTTTCACTAAATCAGTTTTGTTATGTTTGGTAATCAAGTGCGATCGAAGATAGGTGGTAGATCCTCCATTTGTCGAAATTATACGTGGACGTTCACTTGGAACATAGGTGACATTTAGCATAATTTCTGTTGTTACATCTCGTTGCATATGTCCACACGTCCGATTTTCTTTTCTGTACTTGTGATTTATCTGGTTTAAGTTTTTCTGTTTCAGAATCAGTATCATGTGTTATGGCTGATGAAGGTAGTTGATCAGAATTTTTTGGAATAATATTTTTCTTAGATTGTTTATTTATCTTTTGATTATTATCTGTTGTTTTTGGTGCTGATTTTGACGTCGATCTTGGTTTCGGTACTGGTTCTGGTATTGGATTGCGATATATAAATAAATTTATTTCATCGTCAGAATCAGGAGAATCAAATCTCATGGATGATGATAGTGCAGTCGGCTTTGGTTTTATAGCTTTAATGGATTTTTGGACATCAGTTTTAACGGTTCTTTGTTTTTCTTCGACTACAGGTAATGTTTGCTCAACTGTTCCTGATTTTTGGATTGTAGCTGATTTTCTAATAGTTGCTGTTTTATTAACAGGCGGTGAACTCTTGACTGATGATTTATTTTTATGTTTCATGATTTTATTAGATATCTAGAACAACAAAAAAGCAAAAAAATACCTCTAGTATACTAGAGAAAATTGGACAGAGTGATAGCAGTAACAGCTAAAAAGGAAATTGTAACGAAGCGAAATAAAATTCTTAAAAAAGTCGGACAGAGTGCCGGAAGTAAGAAAACAAAAACAATATCCTAAAAAAACAAAAAAGATTTAATATTCAAGGGAAAAAGGTCGGGCAGATTTAAGGCAGTAACAGCTAAAAACAGCCAGAAAAAATTGCGTGAAACCTAGACAAAATTGGACACAACGATGGCAGTAAAAGCAAAAAAGACAATTCTAAAACAAAGAAAAATAGATTTTTAATATCGTATGAAACGCCAAAAGCCCTAAACAGTCCTAAGAAAATTTAGGCTAGGTGATGGCAGCAAAAAGAGAGCCCTAAAAAGTGCGAAAAAAACTCGTTAGTATCATAGAAAAAGTAGTTCTAAGCACTGAATAACCATAAGCGGCTGGTTCTCTAGCATTCTTAAGAAGAAGCTTTCTTTCTTTAAGTAGGTATGCATCAGTATGCTGAATACTGATACTGATCAATACTGAATACTGACAATGGAAAATCTTTTTTAATTCCAAATCTATATCGTCACGAGGTGTTGGTCGTTTTTAATTATGTCCCAATCAGGGTTACCAGATGGTCCGCATTTTGCGGACAAATTGAAGTTTTTTCCGCTATTTGTCCACATTTTTCCTCGGACTTAAAAATTCGTTTAAAGTCATCGTTATCATGCACTGAAATTATAATTATTTCTTATCAACGCCATAGCTGCTTAAACTTATTCTAATCAAAAATATACAGTCAAAAAACAAGGTGTCAATTAAAATCGAGATTTACATTTCTGTTTGTTATTCTTTTGTGTTTTATTGAGTAAAACCACAAAGTCCTAGAGAAAACATTTTTTTGACTATCTGTGCGTGAAAACGGATGCAGTTAGATCACGAAAATGCGTTTTCACTTTTTTCCGCATTTCTGACCTGAGCATCTGGCAACTCTGCTCCCAATAGATCAAAATATTATCTGCTCTTTTCAGCAAACATGTTGAGAGTGGATATGACCTTAGTCGAAGTTCTTGTGTAGCAAGAAAACAAGATCTTGGAACAGTCGAAGCAAAACATAGAGCGAAAAAAACAAAGAGCTGAGTTATTTTGGATCCGTTAGATTTGCCAAGCATTCTGTGACGATATAGATCTGGAATTAAAAATAAAATTTCCATTGTCAGTATTGTCAGTACCAGTATTTTAGTAAAATACTGATACTGATGCATACCTATCTGTGTACAGAAAGGAAACTTCGTCTTCTTCTGCTTGTCTGCTAGAGGACTATTAGCATCATCGTACTGTTATTGATTTACTAGTGTCCTTTAAGAAATCTAGTTTCTATACAGAAAAAGTTGAATTATTATATCTCCAAATTATCTTAAGTTAAAACGAGATAGAGGATCGTCCTGATCTGCTGAAATAAAAAGAGTTCTTTTTTTGTTATGTGATTAGAGATTGAGTCACTTTCTTTTTTCTTCCTTCTTCGGACACATGCTTGAGACCGAAACGCAGGCATTTTCGATCCAGTGGAACATAAAAGAACGAAGCAATACATTCTTTTTTTTAATTAATCTTTAATTAATTTTTTTAATGATCTTATTTGTATGAATCGGTGTTCGGCATTTTCGGTATCGGTATATACCGGAGTTCGGTATTTTCGGTATCGGTATTTTCGGTATTCGGTATACCGATACCGGTGCATACCTAATTATTACAGGGCTTCCGTAGCGAATGCTACTTCTTATTGTAAATGAAAGAGAAAACAGATAGAAACAGTGAGATTTATATGAGAATAAGGCCAGAGTGCACTCGCCGCGGACTCATCTTTTCGGACCATTTACGCTATTATTGTTTTTAGTATTTACTTTTTACTTTTTTCAAAAGAAGTAAAGAGGTACTCCCTATGAAATCGTTCAATAATTTGGATTTTTAAAATATAGTTCGCTAGGTGTCGAGAAATTCGATATTATACTATCCAAAAAAGTATCTTTCATTTTTGGTCCATGCATTTAAAGTCGTCTATAAATCTAAATTCTCAGTCTTATCAAACTTCTTTTCATCAAAATTTGTTCTTAAAAATTACCAACACATTTTTCTCTAAACTCTATATATTTAGCTCTTTTGATTGTTACTGGAAAAAACTAAATTCGATGATGCTTACTGAATCATCGAAAAAATGCATTGTATTGAATGGTGATACTTGCTCTTCTTCATTTTCCAACGCTTTCTTAACGTTCGATTTAAAGTTTTCTAGTGTATTCTGTAGACTATTTTATCTGTTCTATGAGGAAAATCAATTAGGTTTTAATGTACTGTCTTGATCTGAAAACTATTTTCAGTTCTAGCCAGCACTGCCTCCATATCTTCAGGTAGTGGAACAACAGTTCTTACATCATCTTCAACAATCGTTCTAATAACACAGAAAAAATAACAGAAATTTTTTTTTTCTGGAAGATGTGATGGTAGCATTACGCATTATATCGTAAATTCGTACGCGTCATATAGAGTAAGCGTAATATGACTCCTAGGTCTGCTAAAACGTTCATTTTCCCTTTGCGCACTCCCATTACCCTCAGTCTCGTCCTCATTCCGTCATTTGTCTATCCTACACAAAGTCTACTGAATTCTACAGGTAATTTCATCCATCATTCGTTCATTTCATCCGCTGAATCTTTATTTTCGCAATAGGCGAAGTACGACTAGTGATACCCAGCGTAATGCTATTATGACATCTCTGTTTTTTCTGTAATTGAAATGATATTAATCCTACAGTTTAGGATGTATATTGCTTCAATAACCATACACTTATCTTGAACTTTTCCATCGAACAGTTCTATTTAACTTTAAGTTCAAAGAAAATCTCAGCTTAAAGAATATTCTTTTTGTAAAGAATTTAGAATATTAGTTTGCTCTTTAATTCCTCATAGTATTCTGAATTAAAACTATCGACAAACACAAAATAAATTTTGTACCAATAGAGATTCGAATACATGAACTTGCAGTAAAAACTGCATAAACTAAACCCACTGTTTTGTGTCTGTTTGAATGGATTGTCTCTTTTTCCCCCATGCGGACTAGTGGAGTGTCTCCTTTTCCTCCGAGTGGAGGAAAAAGAGACACTTTCAAGGGACTCTTCGCATTTTGGATATGGTTGAAAATCCGTCAGTGATTTCTCGAAGATTTTTACATCAACGTGTACACAAATGTTCGCTCTACAACCATGTTCAACAGCAAGTTTTTCCGACCAAAAATGACTGCGAACTAATAAAAGTACGACAAAAGATCGAAAAGGCGTCTCTCTCGAATAGGCGCGATCGAGCAAAATGTGGCCTATTTCGTGTTTAGTACACTGTCAAATGCGGATAAAATCAGTAATGGAAAGTAGTGAGTGTATTGACATGGTAGAAGGAGGGAAAATACGCTATATTTCTTCTAGTTATGTGTAGCGGCGGTACCAGGAATCGTAGGCAGGGTGGGCTCAGCCCGACTGTACTCGGAAAGGAAAAAGGTAGTGTTTATTTTTCCCAACCAAGTTAATTTCTCTCCGTACCTACGCCGCTCTTAAACTTTCGTACAGACAAGAAAAGCTTTATTCTAAAAAATACTAAGAATCTAGTAATTCTAAAAATTTTTCAGAGTGGGCTCAAATGGTTCCAGGGTGGACTGTGCCCACCCGTGGTATCACCACTAGTTATGTGCTTCATGAAACACATAAGGCGCACGTTCAAGAGTATCTAACGAACAAGTGTCCATCGGGTAAAATCGATCTTCGTCAAACCTCCTTTCTACTATAAAAATTGGACCAATTTAATGATGCCGAGGAAAATGGATGATGG